CATATACACATATTAAGAAATGTATCTTAGCATCTTGTTGCAGTTCATATTACAATTTATTTTCAATTGTTTATCGTCAACTATGCAACAATAACAAGATTTGAAGCTCAGTCCATTAACATCACACTTCACGCTTGGTAGGCAATAGGCATATCACTACATGTGCCTTAGAAAGAGGAACTGCACTGACTTTATTTAAAAACATTTTAAATATGAATACACTGATGGTAGTAGCGTAGAAGGCACAGAAGGTCCCACGAATTTCAACGCAACTAATGATGGCCCAGTAGGCCGAATCATGTAATGCAGTGATTAATTCTAAAAATGATGGATTTTACTACGTAAATCTTCATATTGTTGCACTGTGGACGGTAGACAACTGAAAAGACTCGTTACGAAGCTCCTACATCTAAACTTCTCTCAACGTAATTCTTAAGGTCACAAGTTCTTTTTTTGTATCTTCATGGTAAATTATTACAAACAGACGCTGCAAGAAACATGAGGAAGAGTGTCATTATGTGAATAATGATTCAGGTTAAAGGAATAGCAGGAAATAAAGACCTGTTTGCAAGTGACGTGTTTCTTCTTCATGACACATTAAGTGTTAAGTAAAAACGTAATTAATATGTAGAGTCCTTCTTGAGAAGCTGGTAGCCCTTCAGCTGACTATGAAATATCCCATCGTCTATGGAACTCAAAGGTTCATTGCCGTATTCACAAGAGACCGACTCAGAATACCGTCCTATGCAAGTTGAATCCAGCCCATAACCTTATATACAAAAGGTAAAAGGTAAAGTTAAATTGTACGTGTGCTTAACGAATTAAGGACTACATCATGAAGACGTATGGGGAAGTGGATGTATAGATCCACATTTTCTTGAGCTCGGTACTAGTTGGAGGTGAGTGGTCAGCTTCACGCCCCGACCGCTTTACTCCCGGGAAAATGCCCCTCTTACCCATTGTATAAGAGGTTGGGTGGACTCCACAGCCGGTCTGGATGACATGGAGACGTGAAAATTCTTGAACCTACCGAGACTTGAACTCCGACCTCTTGGTTGTCCAGCCCGTAGCCAGTTGCTATATCGACTGCACAAACCATGCTAACTCTAACCTTATATATCACTCTATTTATTTAAAATGTTCCATATTATCCTCTCACGTATGCTTTTGTCTCCAAAATTCTCTTCCTTCCAGGTTTCATGAAAAAAAAAATAGTCTTATGCATTTATAATCTCCGCCACGTATCTCAGACGTCCGTCCGTGTCATCTTCGAATTGATCACCCTTACAATGCTTGGTTGAAGTTCCTTCTTGTGTAACTTTCTCTATTCTCAGGCTTCCAACGCTTTCTTTGGTAAGGTAAAATTGTCCCTGTGCTTAACTAATTAAGCACTTCTCCATGAAGACGTATGGGGGAGTGGATGTATAGATCCACATTCTGAACAAGAGGCGAAGAGACGGGGTGTGCAGTTGATGCAATATCACAATGGCAACTCTCACAAACTTATGAAATCAACCCAGCGACGAAGTGCCAAGTTTGTACTTGTATCTTGTATCTTGGCCGGGATATCGAGTGTCCTCACTGCGCATCTTTAGTGATCATCCTCAGTGCCTCCAGGAAAATGACGGGAGGCTACCTCAAAACAGACCCCAATTATTTCCTGCCACAGCGTTCCCAATTCAGTATTCACTGTCGCCCTGCAATTCGACGCTGTATAATGCAAGATAATGACAAGAGTCAGCAAATAAACCATAACTAAACAAGAAGTTCTGGGAAGAGCCACTCGCCTACATTCATTTCAGTGTAATTTTAGTCCCTAATACGGCAAGCAGGAACAAAACTTTAGTATGTATGTTTAATGAAGTCAATAAAACAATATAATTTTGGAGACGGCAGTGTTGGTATTACTGATTGGAATGATTTATGAGGCACGCCGTTGACACTAGTACTGGTACTAGTACTGACAGGGTTTTCTTAAATACGTCATTCATATGGCCTCATGTGGCATGATACACACATATCAAGTTTCATGAAGGCTAGTATAGGCCTTCAAGCGATCTCAAAATTATATCTCAGAAATGTGAAAGGATGCAATGTTGGTGTTACTGATGAACTGGATTTATGACGTACACCCAAGAGATGCCTTCATATGATATTGTGACATGTTGCGAAATCCGAGCCCCCCCACACCAGCAGTGACGCGGCGGGTGAGTCAGCGCTCCCCTCCCACCCCGCAATGCGCAACGCGCGGTGACGTCACGAGCGGAGCCGAAGAGAGCCGAGCGGAGCCGAAGATAGCCGAGCCCCGTAACCTGGCAACTACGCAATGCTAATCAACAGCGGTGACGTCACGCTAGCAACAGCGTCCTATGCTATACGCCACGTCACACTAGCAACAGCGCAAGGCTATATAAGCGGACTCCACAGCAGTGTGATCANGTTATTCTTACCAAGTCTCATGAATATTGGTATAGATGTTCAAGCAATATCAAGGTTGTGCCTTAGAAATCTGAGAGACCGTAATATTGGTATTACTGATGGAACGAATTTATGAAGTGCACTGCTTAGACCAGTTCTGGTGGCATGATATTCAAACCAGATGTCATGGAGTTTGGTACAGGCGTTGAAGCAATTTGCCTCAGTAAATTGAATGGCTGTAATGTTGGTATTACTGATGGGTGGGATTTATTATGTACGATGTTGAGATAGCTTCATGTGGTATGATATACTGTTCTTTCATGAAGATTAGTTTATGCGTTCAAGCAATATTAAGGTTGGGCCTCGGCAATTTGAATGATTGTAATGTTGGTATTACTGAAGGAAAGGAATTATGATGTGCACCATTGAGATAGGTTCAGATCGCATGATATATACAATTTTCATGAAAATTTATACAGGTGTTCAGGGAAGTTTAGCCTCAGGAATTTGAGAGGCTGCGCTGTTTGTACAATTACTGATGGGTGGGATTTAGGAGTTAGACGGTTAAGATGGGGTTACGTGCAATGATATACATACTCGTATATCATCTTTCATAAAGATTGGTTGGGGCATTAAAAGGTTAATAGGGGGAACACATATAGACACGCAGACAGACATAATCAGGAAGGTGATTTCAGGAGCCTATTTTTTTTTTAATCAGGAAATTATGTTAAAAAATAAATTTAAAAACGTTGGCAGATTGGGTGATCCAAAGACAAGATGGTGCTTTAGAGTGGAAGAGAGAACGACGACCTCCTGACACGCCGTGACCCACTTCCTGCAGTGCCATTAGTGACATGGGTCGGCATAAAAGTGCGAGTCGTGTGAACTGGGTCAAAGCCAGAACAGGGCTGCGAAAAGCATGACCCTCGGGCCACACTTACAATGCAGATGTAAACCAAAATGTTCCAACATGGGAGAATGAACACAGCTGACTCTATTGACTCGTAGACACACAGAGACAAGGGAAGTGCTAGGAAGAACCTGAACTCCATAAAATGCTGTCTTCTGTCGCATCCAACAAGATCTGTAAATTTGTACAGATATTGTTTTCGGACACTATCCATCGTCTTGTGTTTATCTAAAATCCGTCCTGTTTATTTGTCAAAACACAGCGTTTCGGAGATGGATTCTGTCTCCGTCTTTAAGCAAAACCTATTCAGTTGGACCCAATCGATTAGCTAGTCCCTATCTCCTGAACACGGAGACAGAATCCAGTCTCCGAAACGTTGTTTTGAAAAATAAGCAGGAAGTTTTCCAGACAAAGAGAACATGATGCATAATGTTCAAAACATAATATTTGTACTAATGTACCATCGTCACAAACTCTTATCGTAAATTAGTATTTATAAGATTGTTTTATCTGCTAGGTACTGTCATAAATTTATTAATGTAGACCCAAATTGATGAAAGATGTCTGACACATCCTCGAAGTTTCACTCTGCCGCCATATTTGTAATTATTATCAGAAAAAAATGCTGCGTTTAGCACTTCACGCTATATTCCCATACACAGTTTCACACCTCTAGCGGCAATGATTCATTTATTGCTGTAAAACGCAAAGTTGATGTTGATTTCCTGCGACCGTTTCACATCTATCAATGATCTGTTACATACGTATTTCACGGCTCTCAGCTTCTGACGGCTTCGACCACGGATATTTCATCATAATTATACTGCAAAAAAGAAAAATGGTTCAAAATTCACTGACTCTTTTCATCACACTTTATTCAAAGAATCCTTCTCAAATGCGCAGATAGGCCGTGCCCTAGCTCAGGCGGTTAGTCGCTGGGCTTCTCACCGCAGAGGCCCGGCTTCGAGCTCAGGTCAGATGGGATTTCTAGTGGACAAAGTGGTATAAGCCAGGTTTTCTCCGAGTACCTCGGTTCCCCCTGCCAATTCTCATTTCACCGACTGCTCCACGTTCATCGTCATCTATCATCCGGGGCTGGTACAGTAGGCCAGAAGTGGCCGACCGCCCCAAGAAATTAACTAAGTGCGCAGATTACATAGTATCAGGCTGGAGGGAGGTTATGGATGATGAATTGGAAAGGATATGAAAGGAAACGACCTGGCCTATTCAAGGTACTAACACGGAGCTTGCCTAAAGGGACTAAGCAAAATAAGAGAAGCTGTCATTATAGCCGGTTTCGGGACGGAAATCAAATTCATGATTTTCGTAATTCTGAACAAGAAATCTAACCACTAGACCCTGAAGTTAGGACTTATCAAATATACATATTAGAAAGAAATACGTAATTTTATGTAGGCCTACTTCGTCTTCTTTAGTTTTGCAGTGGCTGCAGACGTTTTTGGTAACCCTGATCTAAACAATGCCAGTGGCTTCTCATGAGGAGATACGTTTCGTTGCGAATGAGAATAAAGTTTGAAGCGAGCGGTGGGGAGATGGAATAATTTCATTCTTAAATGGAACACAGCTGCAGCACGTAAGTTACAGAAAAATTGTTCCTGCCTTGTCACTGGTGTTCTTCAGTAGTGATTTGATAAACACGCAAAGAAGAATGGCTCAATGGGTAAGCGTCTTGTCATGTGCGAATTCCGTGAGACTCGCTTCAATATGTACGTAATATCTGTGTACATTTTTACTGCTGCAGAAGCTGAGAAAATAAATTTCAAGGGAGGTGTAAACATGTTACACACTTCTTATACTAAAAGTAAGGCCGAAATTTTGACGGGAATTCAACACGTGTATGTACAAATTTACTTTCTACGTGTTTATTAAATCTGTAGTTTCATAGCCACGGAATATAGGCGCTTAATGTACGTATTAAAGATGTGATTTATTGTAGCTAGTGATTATTGCTCAGACACGCGCTGTAACAGTGCCCTTTCAGCCGGTATTAGCATAATAACAAATTTGTACTCATGCAAACCAGTTTGGTATATCTATCTAATGGAACAGCCACAATTTTAAACACATCCTTTATATTTAATTTTAATTTATTTTTATACCAACCTATTTCGAAACCAATTCTTTTTTTTTCTAAAACAAAGATCTGTTTCTATGTCATATTTTTCATATACTGAAAATTTTTCAATGAACATTGACATCTTATACATAGTTAATATATTATCAGCCAAATATTTGTTTTAACCCCGTGTTTGAATATTCATAAGACTGGAGGACTACGTCCCATTTGAGGTAAGATGGCCGAAAGGTGAAGATGACCAATCGCCTCCAGTCAGTGCCGAGGTTAAGAAAACTGTGATGTCCCGACCCACTGCTATACAACGCCCGCAACAGACACGTGACCAACAATACAGGAGCAGTTTTTTCTGTGGTCCGCTAAACACATTCTCGCGTACGCGGTGACATCATAACAGTAGAGAGGCTGCGTTTTTTGTTGTGGTCCGTCCTGAGTGTTTATAAAGAACAGAAAATGTGTTTTCTATGTGGTAGCGTCATGCCCAATGCTGGTAACGGACCAGTGAACACTCAGTCTGACACGTAACATGTTTTCTGCGTGGTCCGTGTCGAGTCTATATAACGAGTCTGTAGCTTATAATTGGATTAGAGACTTAGTATCAGTGAGACTGTTTTAATTCCGTTGCCAGGGTACGACTAGTGAAGACTGAGAATCCTAGTGCCTGTGTAGCGGTGAGACGTAAATTGTGTAAACCGGCGATAGCGCTGTATTGCTTGTGAGTACGAGTTGATTGTACAAGATGTTAATGGATCTATTCACCAATCCAAACCCCGTCTATACTCACTAAAACATTTGACAATACGTAAAACTGTAACACCACTATGCATATCTCTTCATGGTGTGGTGCTTAAGTAAGCACGGGGCAAATATTCACCATATATTCTATGTAGGAAATTTATATACGTGCATATTAGCACTGAAATCTTTCCTAAAAGAAATTTGTGTACTCTGTGACCAGCCATGTACCGGGTCAGAGATGAACCTCCCAGCTTAAAGACAGAGAATGTGATAATGTGCTTCCTGGTGTGGGTTACTGAACACCTCAGGGTGCGGTGATATGATTAAGAGGGAAACCCGAAGAACGCAGTTGTCACATTGGTCTTGCCATAATATTGCTTGTATCAGTAGGACTGAATGCAGAGCGTGACCATCACTGAACGCAGGGAAGTTGCATGACACAGCAGTGTTTATCGCACATAACTGACAAGCACACTGCCGTTGGGACTCAAACCAGAGAAATCAGCATAATCTCGTTATGAGGAGATTCTAGTGGCAGTGCAAATAAGTGTTTCCTTGCCAGAAGTCTTTGTGTGCAGACTGTATTTTCATGGACCTTGCAGTCTTAACTGAATTCACATCACTTCTGATTTGCACAACCATATATTTCCTGATAGCAGTTAAAGTGTCACAGAAACTTGAAGTCTGATTTGGCAAGTGAGGCAATTTCGTATAAAATATATTAACTTTCATCCACTTTTTATATTTCAGGTTATAACCGGAATATTATTCCAGTTATTTAGCACCAGAAGTCAGGGCACAAGTTCATACTCTGCTAACAAATTTAATGGCATATTAAAGAGCTCTGAATTGGACAGCAGAGCTGGGTCATCAAGAGTCAGCAAATTTGAATATCCCAAAGAAGATACAACTCATGGAGTCGGTTATGGAGTAAGTATTCAGTATCTCAGATTGCATATGCAGGACAGATAGTGAGACACGTGTTACAAGCTCTAACCTTACTTTTAGAGCTGATCTAAAGCAGTACAACTTTCGTAAGTAACAATTATTGTAACTTTTGAAGTTTTCATTGCAATGATTGTGAAAATTGTGATCTTTCAGCTTATGAATCTGTGTGGTTTTATCTTATAAGGTTACATGAACATATTCAATGTTGGTGTGAAGAAAATGGAAATGAATGTACTATATTTGGGATTGGCTTAGCAGACAAATTGGATAGACCCATATATTCACTGTTCATCCTGGCGGGGTTAAAAATGATTTTGTAATTGCAAAGATTATTTATTGGTCAATAAATGAGAACATTTTGTATGCTAAAGTGAAAAGGGCTGAGAAAACAGCCATGATACAGGGAATGGACAAAAATACGGAAACACCTCGTGAAATGTATGCCTGAATTGAAGTGTTTATTTTAGCGACGTTTGTAGGTGGCGCTGCCGTATCTGCCCAACACCACTACCTGTACAACCTCCGCAATACGTTGCAAGCTTCATTTGTTGTTGAGACAGTGTTCTGTGCAGTTTTTAGTGTATTACGTCAGAGCTAACAGAATTCGAACGCGGGCAAATTGTTGGGGCCCATATGGTGGGTGCTTCCGTAACCAAGGTAGCCGAGGTTTTTGGTGTTTCGCGAGACACAGTATCCAAGATTATGACCGCACACAGGAGGACTGGTAGATCCGCATCCGATAAACACCAGCGTGGACGGAAATGTGTGTTGAGTGATCGAGACAGACGAACATTGCGTAGGATTGTGACGAAAAATAAGAAGACTACAGCTACAAAAGTGACTGCTGAACTGAATGTCACGCTCACAAACCCTGTCAGCACCAACACAGTACAAAGGGAACTCCACAAGCAGGGTATTTCTGGACTAGCTGCAATTCCAAATCACTAAGAGGAGAGTGTGGCCCCGAAGTCATAGTACCTGGACTATGGAGCAATGGAAGACGGTCATTTGGTCGGATGAGTCCACCTTCACACTGTTTCCGACTTCTGGCCGAGTTCACGTCTGGAGAAAGCCATCCAAAGCTTACGATCCAGACTGTTTGCTGCGAAAAGTGAAACATGGCGGGGGTTCGATCATGGTATGAGCAGCCATATCGTGGTATTCTGTGGGACCCATCATTACCCTGCAAGGTCACTTCACTGCCAACGACTATGTGACCATTTTGGGCGACCAGGTCCATCCCATCGTGCAAACTTTGTTCCCCAATGGTGATGCCATTTACCAAGCCAACAATGCCCATGTTCACATAGCTCACATCGTCCAGGACTGGTTTTCTGAGCACGAAGATGAAGTGTCACTTCTGCCATGGCCCCCACAATCGCCAGATATAATATTATTGAGCCTTTGTGGCCTGTTTTGGAGAGCAATCTGCGTGCGCGCTATCCACCTCCATCATCGTTAACAGAACTTGCCAATGTTTTGCAGTAAGAATGGTATAAGATTCCCTTGCAAATCATACAAGACCTCTATTTATCGATTCCAGGGAGACTGCAAGCAGTTCTGCAAGCCAGAGGTTGTCCTACACCACATTAGTCACAGTAATGTGTTTTTTTTTTGTTGGGCGTTTTCATATTTTTGTCCATCCCCTGTCTATTCGAAAGTAATATCCTGGAATTCGCCAGGAATGACTGGGAAACCCGAGAGAAACTCAGTTATGGTAGCTGACGATCTAATCAAGTATCAGGCCAGGGACCTCCTGTAGATAAGTAGGGTGAACCAAATCTGGACTATTAATATCAGTTTGAAACTCAAGTTAAGAGTAAAAGACAATGCAAGTTTAACATTCAAAATACTTTTCATTGAATTTAATGAACTCTTGGTTATGTCCAAAGATACCATCATTATATAATAACTTCCTGTGTTTCAGCATCACTTGCATCCATTTTACTATCAAGGATTTCCTCCCTTGTACTCATGTGCCTTACAAGGTAAGTCTGTGTTCCTTCTCTAACAATGATATGTATGGCTACATATGTAATATCAATATAAAACACCTCCTATTTGTTTCCTTTGTATTAGTAGCAATAATGTTTCAAGGCAGGAGCCGGGATAGCTCAGTCAGTATAGCAACTGGCTATGGGCTGGAGGACGAAGGAGTTGGAGTTCGAGTCTTGGTGTAGCAAGAATTTTTATTTCTCCATGTCATCCAGATTGGGTCTGAGATCAACCCAGCCTCATATACAAATGGGTACCGGGGGCTCTTTCCTTGGGAGTAAAGCGGCCGGGGCGTGAAGCTGACCACTCACCTCCAACTAGTGCCCAGGTCAAGAAAATATGGATCTATACATGCACTCCCCATACATCTTCATGGCGTAGTGCCAGTAACCAGTTAGTTAAGCATAGGGACAATTTTACCTTATACCTTTACTGTTAAAACGTACATCAGCTGCAGTGTCTACATCCCACTTTAATCCAATCCCTCACCATTTTCTTCTCAAACAAACTGAATCAGCCTATGTTAAATTCAAATATCAATCAGCCTCTCTTTCAATTGAACTTCTAGCATCCCATTAAATTGGGCAGTTATCCATTTTAAATTGATGCATTTCAGGAGAATGGCATCCTATTGTACAACATGCATACCACAGCAGTACAATTCAAAACCAAGGCAGAAGTATGTCAACAATGGATGGAGACATGTACAAACCTTACATGTACAGCAATGATTACACTGCCAGGACAAATGCTAACGATAGGAGAATTGTCACAGCAGAACACCATCTGAAACATTATCTAGATGGTGGTGCTACCATTTTTACACTCAAGAGGGCAGACACCACCCTTGACTCAATTCCTCAAGAAAGATTGAACAAAAAATACAAAGGGGATCTGATGACACCAGAGAAGCAACTACATCACAGTTCACATATACACTTCAAGTCAGGCAACAAAACTGCGGCTTCTCCTTCAAATGAAAATAAGAGAATTCCTACATTCCTCACACCCCCCTTACCACCAACATCACTAAGAGATGTTGTAGCTCAGTTACAGCAGCTGTTGCCTGGCAGAAGACACTTCAGTGTCAGAAATGACCAGAAGTTGGTGGATATACTGACTACTCTGCATATTCTGCCACATCCTGAAGAGACTGATTACTTGTAAATTAAGTAGAAATTACCAAATTTTAAGGTTTGAAAATATTCCCATATAAGTGTCACTCTGGCCATAACACTTAGAATAACGTTGTTTTCCATCTCCAAGTCATATCTGTTGAAGAATACATCAATTTCATGATGTTTCAATATGTCAAATTATAGTATATACAAAATACTGTTATTTTCAGTAATTGGTTTCATTTCTTGAATTATCTGTCTTTCACACAAAGTAATGTAGGAAGACTTTGTTCTTTGTCGACCAATAAAGTAAAATTTTGTGCTAGGGTCAAGAGAATACTAATAACAAAATTAGAAAAGTGGGATAAAAATGAGTAAGTTTACACTTCAGACAATGTTTATCTCTACTCTTATCACAGAACTACAATCAAAATACCTATGTTTAAGTTGGCCTATTTAATGGTCAGAACTGATTAATGAATTATATTCATGAAGTGAGATACCACTGCAATGGCATCATATTTACGAGACACTTATGGATCATAATATTATTTATGAAATCCTGTCTCTCTCATCTAAGAGATAATGATTGAAAATAGAAGTGATGTTGCTATGTTAGCAGTATAATTTACATATGCTGATGGACTTGCCTACATTTTAGCTTGGAACCTATCTTGATGAACTGGCATATTATGGAAGACGTGGTGTGTCTTTTATTCAGACAATACTGTTTCTAACTGACTTCTACTTGGAGTCACTATAACTGATTCTGCTCAATAGGAAATTACCTATATATTAATCCCCAAAACACGAACACCTTACCTTCCATCACATAATTAAAAGCATCAATACGCAAAAACTAATATCACTGAGACAATCTTAAGGCTGCCTCACTCAGCTGCTAAATGTACTTATGTGAGATTTCATAACTCATAGTTAAAGTAAGTTTCATAACTTATAAATAAACATAAAATTGTTATTTTTCTTATCTTTGAACAATATACACGTATACAACATTTTTAGCAGTACTTAATCGTATTCCTGAATCCAGGTCACACAAACCTTCCACCTGCAAACAAGAACTCTATCATAAATTTTATGTTTTTGGACATTATCCATCATTCTCTTGTCACTGAACTCTCTTAGGAAAAAACTCAAAAATACTAGTCATAAAAATGCTATTCTGTTCTGCACAAAGCAGTCAAAATAAGAAATTTAATTTCATGAGTGTACACCAGATGAGCCAAAGATCAGAGTTCTTTACCTCCTCTCACTGGATTCTCGGCAGCTTCCACTTCACCTCTGAAAGAAGTATCCACCGTCTTAACAGCACTGATTTCTTTTTCTGAAATAACAGCTATATTAAATAACATTTGTTATAGTTTCTTTCTACCCTAAAATAAAGGAAGCTGCATCATTTTCACTTTATGTACTTGTATTAACTCATACCTACATACCCAGCAAATGAATACAAATATATTACATACATTAGTGAATACTGTGGGAAAATGTCCTGTAATTAAAAATATCTTTTGATTTTTATTTACAGAAATGCATGATCATCTGTTACCTTAATCTGTGTGTGTGTGTGTGTGTGTGTGGGCGCACGTGTACTGTATATGATGCGTATATAAACAAATAATATAAGCTGCTCAGTCGAAACAGATATAAACAGAATTATAAATCAGTAACTTACCTTGATGCTGAAGTTGTCATTTTATGTAATTCATTGGAATAAATTTCCTAATGCAGAGTTAACACATTGTCATAAATATCTTCATTTCTTTTAATGATAAATTCAATGGAAAGAAGAACATTCAGACAAGGGCGATGTATTTAAAAAAGACAAAAAATTCTTGTGTATTTTCTGAATTCTGGCTCATGAATTCAGTTAATTCAACTCACAAACAATTTAATTCCTCGTGGGAAGGCAAAGTGATAATGCCCTTGACTCATTTTTGGCAGGCATCTCTTCAAGATATTGCTAATCCTGAGATTTTCAGTTTTACATAGTCATTCCAAGCACATGACTGGACAGTACCTTGCTCAGACCTTGACTGCTCTTTTCGAGATACTTCCCATTTGAGCATTCATCACCCTCCTACCATGCAGCAGTATGTACTCTAGATGTTGATAGTGTTGTGAATTAAACTACAAAAGACATGATAATTGTGGTGAAGATAAAATGTATTGTACAACCTGCGCCACCTCCAACAAGTTGCAGCAATATAAACCGATATTTGGTTCAAAATTAGTCTAGGGGTTAAGAATAAAGGACGTTTTTGATAGTCATCGGTGACTTGCAATTATTGGTGACCCACATAATGATATGGCCATCACTATATAATAATTAAGAAGGGTTTCATTTGTGGCCTCATTATAAATCATCAATCATAAACCTCAATCATAAATTCTCAATAATAAAGCAAATCACAGGATTTTTCTCTCCCGCACTAAAATTTGAGATTTCGAAGATTGTTGTTGCTCTATGGAAATGGAATTGGAAATCACAGACATTTTTTTCTGATTTTGTTGCCTATTGCTGAAAAAATTGAAGATTTTTCTGTTTGGTATTTAGTAACATAAATTTCAGTGTGAGTGACAGAAATGTTTCTGACATTAACTAAGGAATGGAAAAGGAACAAAAATTAAACACTGGACAACAAATGTTTGTTGAATTTGAGGCCATGAGGCTTAGTGAAGTGCAAGATATCAGTAGATTCAGCCTTAGTACATGTCAAGAGAGGGCAGGAATAATATTATACTAGGGACAACTAAACAATTTTTCTGCAGAAAGGTTAATATCACTTCCCAGTGTCCTGTATTATTTCATAAATTTTATTTATTATTCACATTTTAGAATTTTCAGACTCGTGAGAAATTAACTGCTGATTCTCATTTCTTTATGGGTCTTCTTGGCAAAAACTGGGCTATCAAGGAACACTGCCAACTTGACAATTAGGCCTACTTCTAACCACACCAGATGTATACAGACTTATATACGCAGTATAACAAAATTATAGGTTTATAAAATTTAAACATTATAATCAAAACAAAGAACTTGTTATTAAAACTATAAAGATAACTTGAGATCAAAAAATGATTCAATGAGTAACATATTCCCAATGTAGACTTTCCAAGGACAGTAAGTCTACTTTGTTTTTTCCACTCATTCATGCTATAGGGTGCAATATCCTACGGAAATTCAATAATAATAATAATGCACCTAGTAAAGTATTCCTTCTGCAGGAAAGAATAATCAGAATTATGTTTAGTCCTCAGAGAAATGTGTCAAATAAATATTTATATAAGAGATTCTGCATACTAAAACTTCAGTCTGAGTATACATTTAATTTAATGACACTTAAAATTTATAATTATGAAATTTCTTTAACAAATTCAAAGTTTCATGAAGTGAACACGAAGCACAGACATGATCTTCACAGACAGTATTCAAAAAGGTTGTACACTATGCAGCAATTAAATTGTATAGCAAGCTCCCAGTAGGAATTGAAAGCCTGTCAAATAACAGAAGACAATTTGAACTGTCATTGTCATATATCTCCTACTCTCCTGAATAATTTGTACACTTTATGTAATTAACAGCAGCTTGTTACATTATTTATGGAACTGTAATACTCAATGTGGACTAACTATAACGAATTTGACATTTATGAAAATTTATGTGAATCGTGCCTTGTGCTTGGGCTTTTCTGGCTTGCTTATCGAGTTTATTTGTACAGTGACTTTTCCAGTGTCCATAGAATTAATACAATCTATCTACAATGTCCATCCATCTAGCTCGATCATGCTATGACTTCGGTATGCATGTAAATAAATTACATTAAATTAAAAGCTGGAATAAAAAAGTATAAAATGAAAATGAAATATTCTCATATTTTAAAATCAAATTTTATGGAATATGTAGGCCTCTCTTACAACTTGGACTGGGAAAATGTAAATTTTGTGCTTCAAAAACTATTTTCTGTGTTTATACTTTTATATGTACTACATAACTGACTTCACTCCTGCGAAAATAAGTAAATATGTTAAAATTACAATGAAAGAAGTATAATTATATATATATGTGTGGACCAAATTCATTCACTGTACTAAAACACATACAACTTAATTGGTAATGTGAACCTAACTCGTGTCCTTTGTAATATAAATAATGGAACATTCACTTGAAGATTAAGGATTGTTCAATAGAGTTGTTACCAGTAATCACTAGCATATCTGTAACAGGCTTTCAGTTTTGAGGTAAATGAACTATTTTGAACAAATTACAGCAGATACAGTGATGGTCTGCACTGTGCATGTTTAGCTCCATGTTACATGTACTTACTATACAGAAATGGTATGTACCTATGGTCATTGTCTAGTAATGAGGACCAAGTTATCATTAGGGACACTTCAGATATCTCAATAATGAAAATCAGAGCAACTGTGCAGAACTGTTGTAATTTAAGCCTACAAAATATGAAGCAGACAAAATGTATGCAGTAAAAAGTTAATTCGCTTATTTTGTTCTGCAAATGTCTCTCTTGAACTGAAGCGAATATTCAAATTTTCATGTCTTAAAACAGATCCTGCAAAAAGAGATTACTGTAGGATAAAAACTGCTGCACCACTTAGATTATTGCCATGAGCCAATAAATCTTGTTACTCAATTCTGGTTTCTCAGAGCCCAGCATATTTCCATTCTCCTAGTGTGCATAAATTCACACACAACTTATGTTCTATAAATCTATTGAAGTTCAAATATTCTATGTAAATTAAATATAAACAATTTCATATCCAAGTTCTCAAGTGTTTCAAGAATATTAGTCGATTACGAGAGAAACTGAGTAATGTTACAATTTTTCTGGACTATATTTTGTTAATTATTGTTCATCACTAATGATTCTGCAAGATCACTGTACTTTACATTGGATGATGCGAGTTGGTTCTACACCCCTAATGCCGCTTGGTATCGTCTTACCGCTGATTCCGGTTCTTGTCCAATCAGACATCACGATAGGAACGGCACTCCGGCACTTTCTCGGACCATGTTCCGTCCACACGGCACTGTGGCGATCGCGCCTCCATCTTCACCACGTATCCCGTAGCACATGTCACTTTCAGGTGGTCTCCGGGTTCGTACGAGAATTTGACTGGTGCGATCCTTCCATGTTCCGGGTCTCCTGGATAAGGGCAGCGTGCTTTGCCTGCAACAGAGAAGTCACTCTCCAGCAGCTAGTCCGAGTACTGTCGTGACAATACGCACGTTCACGTGCTCTCAGACATGGCATTAAAGCGACTTATGTCCCCTATCCAAATAGAAAATAGCATAAGAGGATGGGCAGATTCAAGCAAATCACGTGTGAAATGCGTGCCTGTCTAAAATGTCTAAGTCAAAGGGAGTTTTAGCGACGCACACGTCATAACTGACATTTTCGCGTCAGTGTGTCATGTCCATTCTGTGAGTATAATTAATGCCCTGATGTAGATGTGTGAGTGTGGTACAGCGTAGAGAAGAGACCGTTTACTGTTCAATGTTTGTGCTTGTTACGTATGGTGAAATGGCATTAAATATCGGCCTGTACGTATCTTCTGTTAATATATAGGACTGTAAAGGAATAGAGGAAAATGGAGGGGAAATCAATAGCAACAACTTACACGTATAACAAGTGATGAGACTATGTAAGATTTGAGGTTTTCACGGCGATGACTATGAAGAATGCCGGCTTCCGAGATGTGGGGCCGTGTAGATATTGTGTTAACCAACGTTACGGAGGAACGTATCGCCTCCATCTTCAGGGTATAATAAATCAGAGAGCAATGAATCAGCTTGTGGAGGTCGCTGCGATACGTTCCTCCGCAACGTCGGTTAACACAATATCTACACGGCGCCACATCCCAGGAAGACGGCTTTCTTCATGTGATGAGACTCCTCAACTGGTATACATCAGTAAAGCTAAAAACTGATCACCGCAGTCAGCTCAGGAATCCGGCGTCGCTGTTGGTTTAGACTGGTGCCATGTGATTCGTTAAGAATACAGTAATGATATCGCAGCAGAAGTTCCTGCACCTGTGATACGTAGAAACTAAGAAACCCAATCAAATTAAAGAACTAACTTCATATAATCTAACCTGCTTAACGTCACTGAAACTCACCAAAACCTTACCCAAACTTATTCCAGGTAATTCATTACACGAAAGTACACGTGACTTGCAGCGAAATTTTATTTTTTTTTGTTTAATTTACGTCGCTCTCAGTGTCAAGAATATATACCGTTAAATGGTAAGACAATGGTTATCCTGGAATTTTCTCGGAGGAACCGAGTAAAACTACGAAATACCTTAGTCATATTAGTCGGTTCTTTGCCGAGATTTGAACTGAGCGTTTCCCGAGCACAAATCTAAGACTTTTAGCTAGACCATCCTGCTTGGTGAAACTGAAAGTGACGTAGATATAACTGATTCGTACACTATAGACTTTTCTTATACAAATATATGATTCAAAACCGTAAATTTATCCCACTTCTAACCAGTAGCCCCACTCCTGTTTCAGTTGTGCGTATTTTCTCTGGCTTTCCTATGTCAAATATATATATAATTCATGTATGCGAACTTATTTTAATTTTCGGCTCATGTTAAAGAGATCAACATAATTATATGTACTTCAACAACAAAATAGTAAAAACAAATTTTATATTACTATTATTCCCTAAGATTAAGTTCTAATGCCGAATAAAAATCGATGAAAGTTATTGCACATACACCGTGTGTCCAGGATCCGTTAGGACTCCTTTTTTTTCCCCCTGCAATGCCATCTGTTGGCGAGTTGTGGTGTTAAAATTCTTGAAGTTTCAGCTGTGGCTGTCTATAATTTCAAAGCACAAGCATCGCTGCATCATGTGTTCTGACCTTAAATGTAACAGTACTGTTCTGACGCTCGTCGGAAAATGGCGGTTGAACAGAGGGCCAACATCGAATTTTGTTTGAAGTTAGGCAAAACAGCCGGAGAAGCATACGAAATGATGAAAAGTGTGTACGGTAGTGATTGTTTGAGTCGCTCGAACACATTTCGAAGGTATGCTGTATTTTGTGACGTCAAGGAGGATATTGAAGACGTTGCACGTGCATCACAGCCGAGAAAAAGTCGCACTGAAGAAAATGTGAAAAAAGTGACCGACAGATGTGTTCCTGCAAGACTCATTGAGGAGCTTTTAGGAATACCAAAAAGTACTGTGTATCAAATTTTGACCGATCATTCATTTGGGCAAACGGAAGGTCTGTGCGCGGTTTGTACCGCACGCGCTGTCAGGCGATGAAAATCACGCCAGAGTGGAACACCGCAAAGACATGTTACGGTCGCCCCAAAGTGATACAAAATTTACAAAATCGATTGTTACCGGTGACAAGACATGGTGTTTTCAATATGAGCCTCTCACAAAGCCGCAGAGTGCAGCGTGGTTAAGCCCAAAGAAGCCGAAACCAAATAAGGTGGGCATGCAAAAGAGTCGAGTAAAGACACTGCTAACCGTTTTCTTCGATTCCAAAGGAATCATTCACAAAGAACTTCTGCCAGAAGGTCACTCAGTGAATTCTGATTATTATCTCGGAGTCCTCAATCGTTTGTGGGCGAGAATTCTTCGAATTCGACCTGAATATCGAGAGCTAGGTTCCTGGTCGCTCCTCCACGACAATGCCCCACCCCACAAATCGAAGATCGTGCGGCGCAATTTTTTGGCCAGAAAAGGGATCACAGTCCTTGATCATCCTCCGCATTCGCCAGATTTGGCTCCAGCAGATTTCTGGTTGTTCCCCAACGTTAAGTTGGCGATGAAAGGAGACCGTCACGACACCACCCAGGACTTCCAAAGGGAATGTACCGCAGTGTTATATGCGATTCCACAAAAGGAGTACAGTGACTGTTTTCGAAAACTTTTCAATCGATTCCAGCTATATACTGATTCAGACGGAGACTATTTAGGATGAAAAGAGTGAAATTTTGAAAATAATTTAGGATTTGTATTTTTAATGAACACAGTCCTGGACACGCATTCTTTTATTTGCGAATGCCTTGTTATTTTGCTGAAGACGTAACTGATGTCGTTTTGTTCAGAAATAGTTTCCCCATAAATTACTGAAAATTAATAAAAATCGTTAAAACAGCTTCGAATAAACCTTTCTTTATTCTTTGTGGAGCCCATCTGAAGGGCTCCTATTTCGGACCTGTAAAGTTCATATTCATCAGGCACTGATGTAAGATTTAATTACCGAATGTGAATAAATTTTATCAAATAGTTCAGGCACTACCAAATCACGCATGCAAACACACGTACGTATATATATATATATATGACGGACGGATGGCATTCCAAAAGCCAACTTTTCGTCCTGGGAAAAGAGGGTGCAAACTGTAAATCCACGAAATTTCAAGATCACTCTTTTTAACAATTAAAATGTTTCCTCATGTACACTAAGTACATGCGAAAGTAAAGCACTGTTTGCTGGAACGGATGAGAATAGGTATGTAACAGACAACCTTCACGGAAGTAGTCCTGTTAGTTTATAAAATTATACCACCGAGTTGCAAATGTATTCATCAAACGAACGAAACAGGCTGAAATGATTCACTGCTGGTGATGTGAAACAACTTTCCCATTGTGTGAGTAAATCTGAATTAACGTGTTCATTAATTTTTATGGCGTGGTAGTGCAGTCATATGAAGAGAGGTCGTCAACAGCCGTGTGCTCTCTGGCTGCATCGACAAGCTCTATTGACGAACAATACGCCGCTACGACAATTACACTGAACAAATGACTAATACGACAACAAATGAAAAACACTGAGCGTGAGGGCTCTTCCTCTCCCCTTCGCTTCATCCCATTATACCGCAGGACACGGTTGACATTTTGTGAACAAATGAATTGATGCTGCGGGGGGAGGGGATTCCATGGGCTACTCATCCCTCTTCTGTCCGGACTTGGTTTCAAACGGGGTGGTAGAAAACGAGCACGAGAAATGGAACCCTATAAACAGTATCGCAGTAGAATCTGAGTCTTTTGTGCCAATAAAAAGCGAAAAGAGAAAAGTAAAGTACAGAAACAGAAAGTAAAACAAATTGTTATATTTACGCATAAGAATGACGCAACAGGGAATAATAAATTCGTTAAGCAGCGTGAATACAGACGGTTGGTACTGTGTCTGTGCTAACAGCTACTGACACCAGTCCATAATAATCACCATAATTTTGCGCAGTACAATTATACAAAATGGCCGAAAGGTCTGCAACTACTACCAAATTCTTTTGTTTAAGAATATTATAGAGTAATATAATTAGGATTGAGGGGCACGCGGCAGTGTAGTTAGTTGAGGCACTATGTTAAAAGCAGGAAATTCCAGGGTTCGATTCCCGATGAGGTCATTAAATTTTTCATTTGATGTATTCTTTCCAGCCGAACTATGGCCTTGGGGTAGACCCTGCCCCTGACAGAAATGAGTACCAGGAATGTTCGTGGTGGTAAAGGGCGGCCGGCGAGTAAGGCTGACAACTTCACCGCCATCTGTAAGCCGATTATCTAAAGAAAATATGGGAGCCTCGAAACCATTCATCGAAAAGCGTGTTACCGTGCCTTTTGCAAGATGCTGGATATTTCAGAAATAGGTACACCGACAGATACAGCGTATTGGTAAAACTGTTCCGCAAGTCGTGCATGATTTTTCTCAGTACTGTTTTATTGCAGTTCCAAGACGATTTCCTTTACACTCGCTGATTTTGAAATTCTACTCTGACAGACGACTCAGTCATTTTATAATGAACCCTGGGTAAGAAAATCATCGTCGAATATGTCTGCGGTAGCTTTAAACACGATTGTAATGTTAAACATTTGAAATTTTCACGAAAATTTATAATCTGGTCTTCTGGGTTATATCACCATATACAAGTAGACTCGCAGGTGGTTGTCAACGTTTCGGAAGAATTTCCTGCTTCCATCTTCGATATGAATATGAAGCCAGCAGATTTCTTTTAAACATCCGTATTACATATCAGGTGTAAGAGCACGAAGTTACCTGAAAATGTAATCATAATAAATGACATTTAAATTTGCAATTCAGGTTCAACATCATTTCTTTTTCTTACTCTCCTCTCTCTGTTTTTCTCTTATGTGGTTAAAGACTGACGAAAAATATAGCCCTTAAGTGATATTTCTAAGATTTCTTATTAACAGTTGTAAGTCGCGAAGGAAGGATTTGTTGTAATGATAAAATTAATTACTTAAACCTTGAGGTACTGACATTTCTCATGTTCAACTGCATTCAACATTCCACATGCAGAAGTACATATATCAGTCATATCTAGTTATTTCTTGAACTGTAACACAGAATTGTAATGTGTAGTACCGTTGCTATGCAACGATCGCGAGACAACATGTGTTGCTTGGCAACGGTCAGTAACGTTCTTGCGGAAACAACATCCATTCTATCGCTAGACATCCGCCATGACAACCCTGTTGGGGGCGGTGTCTTCTGTTGGGTTTGTCCCGAGTTTATATAATGAGGACACCAGTCCAGCTGCAGTTAGAGCTGTCAGCAGTTCACATGAGTCAAGTGACGTGAAGTAGCTCTGTGAGGAGAAGACTAGAAGGTTGGTGTGAAGTGGCCCCCAGCCTGGGACCCAATTAGCTGAATTGTGAGTTGAGAGGCGGTCCTGGCCGGGGCGTCTGTAACAAGAGGCCCTGAGTGCGGGAAGCTGAAGACTCTCCACTCTGTTAAATCTGTTGCCAAGAAACGGCTAGTGGATATTGTAATAAGACTTGTGACATTAGTCTGTGTGTGTCAGTGATCTGCAAAGCGTAGATCCGAGTGGTGTATACAAGTGGTCAATTCATACCCCGTCTATAGTCACACACACACCATAAATACGTGACAGTCGGAGCATAGTTATGTGAAAACTGCATCTGCAATTATGCAGTTTTATAAGCTGTTACGAAATTAATTCCCCACTGCTATAACAGACAAAGAGGATAAATCAGTACAACGCACGCAGTCACAAGGGAAGGACACAACACAGGACACAATATACACAAGAATATAGGAAGAGTACTCCCATAGGAGAGGATCTACATAACTCGAGAATTTTAAGTGCGACATATAGATGATAAATCTTGAAAAGTTTTAATATATAAACTTTATTATCATGACATATATACATTTGAATCATTTTATAAAGGAGACATGATGGCATACAGCGCAATAGTTTGACGTAAATAAAACCACACCTGAAGATGGCACATTAGTGCCGAAAAATGTAGTGAGGAGAAAAGTGAAATTGTGTGCACTATAAAACGGTTGGTACAAATACACATCATGAAGATGAATCAGAGGAAGCAATTTTCTGAACCGGTTTCCGTACCAATGCAAAATATGTAAACATCAAAAAGCTCCTGTTTAAGTGTCCAATTCTCGCGTAATGTCTCATGTCAAAGATAAAGATTATCAGTTTCATTTAAGACTTCGCTTTACGTTGAGTTCTGATGTACGAGATGTAATAGAAGGAAACATCAAAAATAGGCCTCATTAACATTTATGCAAATTTTGTGGCGCGAATATTTCGTGTTTCATTTGACAGCACTCAATTTTCTGAGACTTAGACTAACATGAACGTTGGACCAAGACGGACGGATAAGTCACACAGTTAGTTATTCATAATGCTCTCTGGTCTCTATATAGGCAGAAACGTGAACTGACATACAGTCGTGCTAACTTCAACTTTAGCTAAATCTTTATTCAGTAACGAAACCTTCAAGCGTAACAAGATTATCGACTCACAGAACGGTGGAGGATGTGACCAGAAGCCGGTTTCCGTGCACACGATGCTGGACTCGCCGACAAGCTGATGGCGCTCGTTGCAAGTGAACTGCACAGTCGACCCGACTTGGTAGTGCGGGCCCTCGTCCACCAGGCGCCCATTGACGGGAGGAAGGGGCGGTGGGCACAACACCGCTGCAACACGCATTGCCGTCTTGTTAGAAGTTCAGAAGTCAAAACCAGTGTCAATACTACTACCTACATAACTAAACAATACTCTGCAAATAGAATTACTGGGTTTTGGGACTTTTCATCGTCCGGAATTCTAGGTAACAGAGGACACGACGTTTCAGAAACTGGATCTGTTTCTGTCTTCACCTGAAGACGGAAATGGATCCAGTTTCCGAAACGTCGTGTCCTCTATTGCCTAGAATTCCGGACGACGGAAAAAGTCCAAACCCCCAGTAATTCTGTGTGTCATCCACCATCGTCAGAACCCTTTAGAATCTACTCTGCAAATAGCAATATAGGAAGCGGGGTTGTGACTAGGCTGTGGCATATAAGACCGGGGTTCGATTCTTGACAGACGCAAGAGGTCTTCTCCTTGTTATCGCGTCCAGATCGTCTCTGGGGCCCACTGAGCTTCCTATCCAATTAGTAATGTTTTTTTTTAACGGAGATACAGTGTAAAAAGTGTGAGGCTCACCACTCTTACACATGTGCTCAAACAAACGAACTCCGTGGTTTTAGTCCACAAGCGAACAATACCGACCGAGCGACCACCGCTTGTTGTTGAAGATAGTGCCAACTTTAGCGGATAGAGGGTGTCGTGTGGTCAGCGCAACGAATCCCTACGTCCGTTAATTTCGGTTTTCTAGACCGGAGCCGCTATTTCCTTGAAACAGCACCTCAATTACTTGTATACTCAAGAGGCTGAGTGGACCCCGTTCCAGACCCACTACTTCTCAGAAAATATGGTAGCACTGGGAATCGAACCCAGACCTCTGGATCTGTAACTAGGAACTGTGAACACTAGACCACCGGGGCTGTCAGGCGATTTCTTAAGTCTTATTCAACGACGCTGTGATTTTTGAGAATGCAGGGAATCGATGATACGATGATTTATTAATGCGGAGCAGTTGGTGGAATGAGAACTGGCAGGGAACCAGAGTGCTCTAAGAAGACACGTCTCAGTGCTAATTCGTCTACCACAAATCCCACAGCACCTTTCCTGAGATTGAACGCGGACCTCCGCGGTGGGAATTTGGAGGATAACTTCTTGAACTATGACACTGACTCAAACCCACTGCGCTATTCTCCTGTTCCTCGAGAAGATGTCACGTGGTGATGCTTAATTAAGCATACAGACAGCTTTACCTTACCTTGAAATAGTATAAATAATGCAACGCAGTGTTCGTATACAAGTGCATCCGGCAATTTCATAAACCTGTCAAGTTCAGTTTTTCAGAAACCCACTATTGTCCATCACTTTCTGGGTCCCTACATTTTGCACTCGCTGTTCACAGCAGCCGCTTGTTCGAAGGCACGAACTGTCTTCTCTCGCTCGGACACTGGGATCGTGGGTTGGAATCCCACTCTGTGCATGAATGTTTTGTGTGTGTATGCGTTTATTCTGTGTTTGTGTTGTCCTGTGTTTAGGTAGAGGCCTTGAGACGGGCTGATCACTCGTCGAAGGAGTCCTACCTTCTCTGAAAAATGATTACGGAACTGAATAAGATTCCTGGGCCCTGAATGGGCTGGAAGAGTCATTGACATTAATTACAAATTAAATTCAATATTCATTCCGTGTTACTCCTATCCTAGTTTCATATTCATTTTCTCCATCTGACTACATAAACAGTACTATACTATTTGCACAAATTTCCACTTTCTTAAAGTAAGAAACTATGAAATTTCATTCTCTCTAAGAACATTTCTTAAATTACTACAATTGCCTTTTACAACGTTCAATTACACAAGTATGACAGTCGGAAAGAATGTCGTAAATTTTATTTAAGTACAAAGTAACACGCGTTCAGATTTTGCTGACATGAAACGATGAAACGGGATGCTATAATGGAGACTTCTTGAAGACTTCCGCTGCACTCACAATTGCCAACAAAGTAAGTTTCCTAATTTCTGCAAAAATATATATTTATAACGTAAATTGAGGGATAAAATTTAACTGTGTTACTAAAGTTAAGCGTTTAAGCAGACTGGACGAAAAGAGTAACTTGTTCTGCACTAGCTCCATTTGCTGAACTGACTTCCCTACCTCTCTCGCTCAGACTTCTTGGTTAAATTACTTAGAAAACAAATAACTTTCACCGCAAAGCGAGTCTAATGCACTAAAGGTTAATCTACATGCCTCCTCAGGGTAAGTAAGCCTTCGTTTAATTGATTTTAAACTGAAGTTTAATGGAAATGATCGTAATTATCATTGAAAATATTCTGAAGGTTAATGGTCTCTGAACTGAGTTTTGGATGGATGTGAGAAATAATTACTACGATTCTTAAATGAATAAGGTCGTGCTTGGAAAGTTGATATATTTCAGATCATGGAACTCCTGGTGTTCTTTAAGAATCCTGGAGGTTCATTATCTTGTTCACAGAACTCTTACACCGCACTCAATACCAAGCCAGTTAAATCCACCTAAAATTTCATAGCTTACTTCTATAAGTTTATTAGTCTTCATTATTTCACATCAAATTCTGTTACTTTTATTTAACCCATAACCTTAGTAACGTCTATGATTCCGTTAGCAGAGAAGTACTGTACAATATTCTCATAGAGTTTGGGTTACCCATGAAACTAGTTAGGCTAATTAAAATGTGTGTAAATGAAATGTATAGCAAAGTCCGTAGGGGTAAATATTTGCCTGATAAATTTCTTACCCAGAATCGTCTAAAACAAGGAGACGCTTTATTGCCACTGCTTTTCAACTTTGCTTTAGAATATGTCAGTAGTAAGACCCAGGAAGGCCGCGCCATAGCTCAAGCGGTTGGTCGCTGGCTTCCCACCGCGGCGGCCCGGGTTCGATCCCGGGTCTGGTCAAGTTGGATTTGTGGTGGACAAAGCGGCGCTAGGGAAGGTTTTCTCCGAGTACTTCGATTTCCCCTGCCAATCTTCATTCTACCAACTGCTCCACAATCACCCTCACCTATCATCTGGGGCTGATACAATAGGCCAGAAGTGGCCGCAGTGCAAGGGACTTAGTCCCACACCATTAGCAATAAAAAAAGACCCACGAAAACCAGGTTGGTCTGAAATTAAATGGGACATATCAGGTGTTGGTCTATGCTGATGATGTAAACGTACTGGACGATAATATGGGTACATAAAGAAACTCACAGAAACTTCAATTGGCGCAGGTAAGGAGGTTGACCTGGAAGTAAACACAGAGAAAACTAAGTATATGTTGCATTTTCGTCACCAAACTTCAGGGCAAAATCATAATATAAAACAGATACTTTAGAAACGTGGCACAGTTCAGATATTTGGGAACGACAGTAACAAATCAGGAGGAAATTAAGGGGAGATTGAACTTTGGTAATGCTTGCTACCATTCAGTCCAGAACCTTTTGTCTAAAAACATGAAAATTAGGATATACAAAACTATAAATATGCCTGCGGTTCTGTATGGGTGTGAAACTTGGTCTCTGACATTAAGGGAGGAGCATAGACTGAGGGTGTTGAGGAGAACATTTGGACCGAAGAGAGATGAGGTGACAGGAGGTTGCAGAAAACTGCAAAATGAGGAGCTTCATAACTTGTACTCTTCTCCAAGTATAATTACAATGATCAAGTCAATGAGGATGACGTGGGCAGGGCATGTAGCACGAATGGGACGAAGAGAAATACACGTAGGATATTGGCGGGAAAGCCAGAAGGAAAGAGCACATAGGAAGACAAAGATGTGGATAGGTGGGTAATATTAAAATAGGTCTTATAAGAATAGGATGAGGTGGTAGGGACTTGATTGACCTGGCTCAGGATAGGGACCAGTGGGGTTATAGGCCCACGTCTTGACGGGTTACCTAGTCCAACGTTCTACATAATTTCTCTTCATATAAACAAGTTTTGCAAACAGCGAGTGGAAGCTCTAGAATTACGAAATTCCGCGTTATCATACCAACTAACTGTGGAGAGTTGGATGAACGTGGGTTGCATAACAGTTCACAAAGGAGCGAGCCGTGTTTTGTTTCTAATAAGGAACGGCTTTCTCTGAAAACAGCTAATTGTACTAATATTTTCAATTTATCCTTTATTTCAACGGGCCTATTTTAGCAATTTCTGCCCGTATATGCCTCCTTTTAATTTCAAGCGTATTCAGCAACAAAATAACACGAAGAACTGCCATTATTATTGCAGCCATTTCTATTACGCAAATATAACACTGGAAGTAATACTGACGGCAGGTCTCCACAGTAGACACTACCACGGAACAAACAGGAATATATTATGTAAGATTTGAGGCTTTCACGGCGGTGACTATGAAGAAAGCAGTCTTCTGGGATTTGGCACCGTGTATATGTGGTGTTAACCGACGTTTCGGAGGAACATATCGCCTCCATCTTCAGGGTAGAAGAAAAAATATAAGATATCTGCAAGCGAAGAGACGGTAATTACCGTTTCTCACGGTCTCTTCGCTTGCAGATTTCTTATATTTTTCTTCTACCCTGAAGATGGAGGCGATACGTTCCTCCGAAACGTCGGTTAACAACACATATACACGGTGCCAAATCCCAGAAGACTGCTTTCTTCAGGAATATATTATATTTGACGTGAAGCGCTTGTGGGAAGTGCGTATTCGCAAAAGGCTTTTCTTATTTCAATTTTCAGGATCAATTACAGACGCACATTTTCTTGACATATTTCTACTTAGTGACAGAATTCCCCTGAGCTCCTTCTGAACAGGAACGATTCTGCAGTCTAAACACGCAAGACCCACTTCCTTCTTTATTCCAAAAACTTCTAAGCTTAATGTTTCTTATAAATTAGTCTCTTCTGACTTGCTTTCATATTTCTTCTGACAATAAATGTCTTTGTGTGGAATCAGATAGCCCATAGCTAAAATAATTTCTGTGTTACCTTTTCATTTTACCGGTGATTTCAACGGGCCATTTTTCTAGTAAAGTGTGGGGGGCAGTCAAATGAAAACGGGTCAGAAGCCAAAACATGTTAAAGAACATTT